AAAGTTCATAGCATTAATTGCGATGAATCGCTGATTGAAAGTCTCAACTAATTTAATAATCCAATATTCATTAAGTATGTAGACTCTGATAACAATCCACTTGCCAAAAGAAAACTGAGAGTAGTACTTCAAGGCACACAGTGTAACTTTTGGCCACTAGGAGTGCTAGACCTGTAACTTTCACGTCCGAGGTTTCATGTCTACACAGGTAAACACAGCCGCCCTGCCTCTTTAGGTCACAAAGTCTGCGGTGTGCCTTTAAGCCAGAAGTGTAGAGAAAATATCAACATTTTACATCTAAGATAAAGATTCTTTTTTAGTTAATAGGCTCTATCCAGAAATCATCAGATGGCATTGTTTTAGCTCCACCTTGTTCAAATTCTGTAAAAATAAATCCTACTAAGCTCCCCATCTGCTTGATAATTAATCAATCAATCAATCAAAGAAAAAAAAAATGAACAGTTTAACTACTTAGTAAAATAATTATAATTTGATTCCCTAAAAGTAAACGCTTAATAGTCTCTCCAGTGACTCCAGGAGAACCATCCCCACTCCAGTGAATCCATACAGCACATTTATTTATTTCACGGTAAGTGTATTTATTTATTTGATTCATGGTTCATTTATTATTGTCATGGTATATTTACATTTATTTCATGATAAATTTATCTAGATGATTTTGTCCCCTTTAATCCTCCATAATACTGGCTGAATACAATAAATTGGTTGATCTGCCTTTACAATAAAAAGAAAATGTTTTGTCAATCATTCCAAAAAAAAAAAAAAAAACTGATATCCAAAGCTAATACTTTCAGCTCTGCAAAGGCTTCTGAAAATAGTTTTGCTCTAGTGGCTGCTGTGGGCAGGGGGTGAAATCAATCCTGATTTCTTCCACCCTCAGCCCAGCCTGATACATCTGTATCACACTGACAACAAATAGTGGAAAAAGTAGAAGGATGTTCAAGGAAAAAGGAACTATTTTCATGATGAAGCACACATTGATTACAGCTCACTATACTTAAATATGTCCCAAACTAAGCCTGCCCCTCTTTTGACAATAACTGTCAGCTCAAGACAGAGAGCATCTCCAGAGAAAATGCCTGGGATGAGAATTCAGAAATCAGTCTAGCGTGTCACCAATATAAATGAACGTAACTTCGTGACTCTGAAAACTGCCCGCCTCTGACTTTCCTTTGCTTTCTGTTGTCCCATGAATATATTCATATAATCTCATTTTGAGGAGACTGTGAGCATTACTCACTGATGACCTGTTTTACTCTTTGCTCATTTACATAACTCAAAGGGTATCCTCTATGTGGTCTACTGAAACTACAACCCCACATGTTTTAGACACTGTCACAACCCTGTGCTTTTAATTTCATGCCTGTAAACCAACAAAGTCTAAAATAATTGCTCTGGCAATTCCACTGACAGTGTAGAAAGAAGCATTTGATAAGGGTGTCTTTATGTGTGGATATGTGAGTGTTCTGCTGTAATAGCAGGACACACTTTGGGAGCTTAAGTGGACCAGAGTCAGGGAGTTATCCCTTCCAATAGTACTTTGTTCCATCAGCAGGACAAAGTAGGATCTGCATCACTCTGACAGAGAGAGCTAGGTCGCTCTGGGTAGCTGCACACATTGTCGTCAAAGACTAGAAACAAACCATAGACTCAAACCTGCTGATGCTAACCACTTTTAGGAGAAAGGATGCATTGCAGATAAATTGATTAAATATAGTATATGGACACAATAGGACCAACTGCTAAATACATTTGCAATAAAAGGTGCATAGTTGCATGAGATAAGCATATGCCATGGGGTATTTCAGTACCGCCAACTGTTCATTCGGAATAAAAAAAATCTAATATATGATCTGTTAACAAAAGCTCTGTGTTTACATGCAGGATTCCTTGAAAGTACAAAAAGTTTAGTGAAACACACTAAAAAGCACATTTTAGTCATTCATGTAAGAAGGACTGAGACAAGAGGCCAGATTCAAAAGCCAGATATCTTGCCTTTTGTAAACATTTTAATATACCACAGACTTTAAACAGAGTCCAGGCGTTAGTCTGAACAATTTGCATCAAATCTATTGGGAGCTTTATTTCAAGGATAATGACTGAAAAAAAAATGAATATGATGAGGATTAACCTGAGAGGGGGGATCTTCAGCTAAAGAGGGTTTGACCTTAAATGTCTCAGCCAGAGTAAACCTCTGACAGTCGACAAACTTTGATGGATGATAAGGTGAAAGGCGAGGCAGGAGCAAACACTGATGAGGACAACGAGCTTCCTTCAACAGGAGGATGAAGAACGATTTGATGTTGTTGCCATTATGGTGAGTCTTATCATTCTTCCAAACCAACAAAAAAGAGATTTCACTAGAAGATTTATTTTTTGTTTTGTTTTAGAATGGACTAGCTAGGGCTGAATCTGACAAAAAATTAAATAAAATGTTTGATATCACATGAAGAGGGCTACATACAACAGATATCCTCCTGATCTAAAATCTGAACAGCATTAAGAAGAAAATAATATTAGACAAGATGTGAGATATTGGGGTTATCCCAACTAAGGGGCTGGATTCTTTGAAAGACATTCTTAGAGCTATAATGTAACAGAGCTGAGATAAAGGCTGCTCAGATCTACGAGAGAGATTAGGACAGGAATCCCACAGTATTACAGAGACTCCAGGAGGCAGCAGCTTCAAATAAGGCTGACAAATACGACCTTCTTTTGCCCATTGTGAAGGATAGCTCTGGGTTATCATTCATGGCCAAACTTTTCCCATGATTCAGTGCGAGTCGAGGTGGACTGATTAAGCTCGGGAAGTGATATCCCAACTGTGACCCAAAATAAAGATTTTTTGAGGCAACACTGTAGGTTTGTTCAACTCAAATAAAAACTCTGTTCAATAAGAATTAACTTAATAAAAAAAAGAGAAAAAAAGTTTGATATTTCTTGACTCCAGCTCGCTTTGGCAGCTGCTAGGATTTTAGACTGTCTTCCCTCCCTCTCCTGTGTTGAACTACTAGATGGAAGCTAAACTTACATTGCATTGAGCTAATATCAAAATGTTCACATCTAGCAAAATGTTTTTCATCTAAATAATCATTAATTCATATCAACTGCTGTGATATGGCCTATATTGTACTGTTTTTTGTTTTTCTGTAAAGACAAGCCATAAAAAAGTAATGACAAAAGAAACTTTTAGTGTCTAAATTAAATTTTTCCTTCAAAAATAAATGTAATATATTAATATTAGGATAAAGGATATTAAAAAAGCAAAGGCAGACTCAACTGCCTCCATAAATCTATCCCTCACGGTGTCATGGTTGCTAGGTGACCAAAGTTACGCTTAGGTGAGAATGAGGCTGGCTGCTGGAGGCTAGACCGTCCCAAATCAACGTTAATCACTTCCAGCCTTCGAGGTCTGGGTGGGCTGTGTTCTTCAAAGGATGCAGCCCCTGAACTGGGAGATACCCGTTAACAATCTCATACCAGACAGCAGAATGCAACTTCAGATTTTATATATTTTTTAATAACAGCAGATTTTTTTGTTTCTAGGTTAATGGTCAGTAATATATGTAAGACAAAAGCTAAATCCCAACTTTTAAATTTAAATAAACTAAAATTTGTCACATTTTCCTATTTATCAGAGCTAATAAATATGACACAAAACAGAAAAGGATATGCAAATCCACAAGAAGATACTGACTCTCTGCAAGCGTCATACTTAATACTAATAATATTCCTTTCAATTGGGACAGATAACGTAGCAGCCATGCACTTTTTTGCAGGATATATAGTTAGTGATCTGGCCATTTTAGTTAGTCGCTTCCATTCTTTATTTAATGGCCAAATTGTCCAAAAATCTATACAGAGTTCTCGAATATGGCTCAGGAGTTTTACGGCAGCTCTAGAAAATATATATTGTATAAATCTAATCTAGAACAAAAATGGATATAATTATAAGAAAAGCATGAATAGTAATTTGAGCACGGTAACAGTATATATGAACATTATGAGTGCCTGGTTTGACAAAATACAACCCATCAAAACTGGGTTGTATTTTTTTAGATTCAGCAAATGTGCGCCGACCATGCTTGTTACAAAGATCTGCCTTTTCTCATCCAAAGTGAACACACCATTAGGAGCACCATTAGAAACATTAGGAACATCGGTGGACAGGTGGACTGTGATGTCTCACAGAGACAGACACCGAATCTGGAATTTGAACGGCTGTTAAGTGTATAAGCCAAATAGGAAATCAGACAGAGAAACTAATGGTGGCATATAGTTTTCTATAGAGGACCAATGATGAGCAAAGTCTGGACAGTAAAACGTGTTCTATTTTTATACAGTGACATTGAAAAAACAAAAAGACTTAGAGGGAGGCTTCCTTAAAAAAATAGAGAACGGGCCAAAATGTTGCTTAGCATTGGAGAGGTGGGAGTAGCTTCTCATCAGCAGGAGACCACAGTGTTTGTAAAAAAGGGGGTGCATGTATAGCTCAGATTGGTCATTAGTGGAGCTTTGGCTTTGCATGATTTAATTGGGACAAACATGTTTTAGTATAATTACCAAAGGCTGGGAAATGAACAGTGTTATCACAAGGGGCAAGAAAACAAACAGAAACTGTCCAGGCCAAAAAAAATTAATAAATAGAAAATCAGCAAGCATGTTGCTTCAGGGCTGTAAGGACTCGACCAAGAAAGGCTGCAAAAGCAGCAGGGCTTGTGTACGGATAAAAAAAAAGAAAAAAAATGGAAACACTGTTTACCGATACAGCTGTAAGAAAAGACCAGTGTTTTCAAACATGCTGTTTCTAAAAGTAATTACTTACACCAGAGCTTGAACTACAAGGCGCTGATGTTGTAGTGTCGTTTAGTAAAAAACAAAGGCTTCCTTGTAAAATCCTTATTCTGATTATGAGTGTGTTTCCCATACTGAAAGCAGAATGAGTTATTTATGTGATGTGGTGGCTGCTATTGAATTACCGGTTCTCATTTCGCTGTGTGTATCTTGGTTGGGGGTCAGCATCTCCATCATTAACATCGTAGCTTGCCTCAGGGTCCTAAAAGAGACATGAAAATAGATAGCAATCAAGTTATTTCTAATTTCTCCTCAAGAGTTTAATTAACCTTCTTCTACCCTTTTATATCTAGATTTTTTTATTTTGAAAATTGTTTGGATGTATAAAAAGTAGCTGTATGCTACACATAATCCACAGCATGTTATCCACTTTTCTTTGTCATCAATTAGCTTCTTTCATACAGGGCTTTTTGAGCTCAAAGCAATCCAAAATCTTTTATAGATGTAAGGATGAAAAGAACACATTAAAAGAACAAGGAAAACTGATTACAGGCGTTGTAGAATTGTTCACTGGTAAAATTCATACTCTTTACAATTTTTATTTTTGTAGATATATGACATAAAACTGTTTCTATAAAGACTTTATGTAAGAGTCAATAAGTAATGCATTACTGTTGAGGGGAAGGTAACTATCCGTACACTAAGCAGATCCATAGCTAAAAGAATAAAAGTTTTCTCCAAAAATGTAATCTTTAATAACATATGGAAGGAAATAAATCTGTAATAAGAAATATAAAGGATATTTAAAGTTTGCCTTCTGCCATCTAAGGACCACAGCAAATGGGTGGAAAATAATGCTGTGACATGATATAAAAATCTTTTTTAAACATATACACTACAGTGTAATATCCTAAACACGCAGTCATAGTGCTATAACATGGTGGTGGCAGCATCATGCTTCTTCTTTCAGGGACAGGAAAGCTAGATCAAGATAAAGGAACAAATGACTGGATAATACAGAGAGAAAACCTATGAAAGATTCCCATTCCAGCAAGAAAAAAAGCAGCCCCAGGAGCCGTGTGATTGAGAACAGAATACATTTAATCGTAAATAGAATATAGTGAACAAGTTCAAGATTATTTGTCACTCATTTACAAAGGTAAAATCAATTAACTATATTTATTCATCAAAAAATTATGGCATTAAGGCTTACAGATAATCAGAACCCAAACACCTGTTTCAGAGTATTAGAATATTAAATAAGATTAATAGTAAAGATGTTTTAAACAGAAATGTTATGCTATATATATATATATATATATATATATATATATATATATATATATATATATATATATATATATATATATATATATATATATATATATATATATACACAAGTAATTTCCCTCTGGGATTGTTAAAGTATTTCTGATTCTGAAAATAGAAAGGAGTAGAATAGAATGAAAAAGGAAATATTGTCATTGTCTCACAGTAGGAAAAACATTTAACAAAACAATAAAGTCATAGGAAAATAAAAGCAAGCCAATTCACAACAGGAAAGAATACATAAAGACTAAAAAATAAGAAACTATACAGTTATTAAAAATAATTATAAATCAACTGAATAAGACAATCTTAAATGTAAAAGATATTTGAGCATAAAAAAAACAATTAACCTGTTTATTTACAACCTGAAAATCACCAAAAACTATTTAGAAATGCATGAGAAGGCATTAATTAAATCAGCTTCTGCTCTTTAATCCATGGGAGGGGTCTAGACTGTCATAATAATTTGGAGGCACATAATATGTCATGCGGTTTAAGACTTTTTTATAAGAATAAAAAAACTGTCCAAACTGAAAAGTAATGGATTTCAAATTTTAAAGCTGCTGGGAGAAAGAAACTGTGATTATTCTACTTTTTGCACCTAGCATGCATCATGCACAGCATCATGGGTGGTGTGAGCACATTGTAAAATGCAGTTGTTAATTTTGCCAGGAACCTTCTGTCTCCTACACCTGTAGTCGGGGTTAGAGGGGGCAACCTAAGGACAAACCTGATCTGCCTGATAACCAGGGTGAAAATAAAATGGAACGGTCTGATACTGCATACTAGTAAAAGCTGCTGGCTACTATTTTGTGCCAGTGGGGGTACAGTAACCAACCTGATGATCTGAATGTGCCATTGTTAAATTTCACCCATGCTTATTCAATACGTGTCTGATGCGCACTCAACTCTGGCAAACTCTGCTCCACCAACTGTGCTTGTGCAGAAATCCAATAGATTTGTGTATAGATATATATGTGTATAGATATGTGTATAGATATATATAGGTTATATTGTTATAAATCTGAAAAAAAGAAAATTCAATCAAAAATGCATGTAACAAACAAATACCGGCCAATAAACGTTTTTTGTATAGTACTGGCAAGAATTTCAATCTACTTTCACCCCTGCTGATAACCTTAATGTATCTAAGCATGTTCTCTAAGCTGTAGATTAGCTGATGTTCCAGAACATTCCAGAATATGGCTGATGTCACAGCAGAGAGAGGTTGTTTTAAGGTTGCTTTAACAGAGGTTAGGGTCAGGGAGGTTTGCTGGCAAATCAAGAGCAGTAACAATATGACCACTGACCCAGCTTATGGTAGCATTGGCAGTGTGGGCAGGTGCCAACTGGCACTGAAAAATGAAAGTATCTTTAAAAAAGCCTGTCAGCAGAAGGAAGCATTGAGAGCTTTAAAATGTCCTAACTTAACAAAACACAGAAACCAACACCAGTAGATAAAACAGCAGCTCCAATAATCAGTAAAAAATGAATATGGGGATATATCGGCCTGCCTCTAAAGTCTCTGATATTATAAAGCATTGGGGCCAGTGTCTATCTCTGTAATCTATGGGTGAGCTGCTGTGTACAACCTGGACAGGTCGCCAGTTTGTTGCAGTTTTTAAACACATTTCCTCCTTATTTGGACTGTGAAAATGCAAACCATACGCCATTAACACTGTCATCGGCTCACCGAGGTAGGTAAACAAGCTGCAGCCCTGACAGCAGAGAGCCAGTGTGAAGAAAAAAAAAAAGCTCACCACTGACAGTGGAAACATAAGTGAATTATGCCCATACCCTGACTTTTAATGCGATATGCACTATGTTTAGGGCCTTTTCAGACCCCTTAGCAACTTAGCCACAAATCTTATTGTAGATTTTGGCGACAGGGTGAAACAGTAGAGTTTAGTGTCTTCAGCGAGAAGTGATTGAGCAAGCCCCTCTCTTCTCCAAGGCACCGTCAGAAACAGACGCTGCAGCCTGTTCTGCAGTTAGATAGAAAAAACCGACTCCTGCTTCCCCACTGAAAGGTAGTTACACATGGTAAAAATTTCCACTGATGGCCCCTGAATTAAAACGTGGAATGTAAATATAATAGGTTGCATATTTTTCTCCTTGTTTCACCTGTTTTACTGAAATAGATCCTATCTGCATTCACACCCAGCCTCAATTACTGTCTGCCTCTGCTAACTGTTTTTAAGCTAAATTGGAAAACATAAAATGGATTTAGTTTCAGTTGAAGCTTAAATAACCTTCTGGAACACCACATATTTGATAAGGTTTATGTTGAGTTTGAAACCTATGTGAAGTATTTATAGTCTTTTTCTATCTTGCCAATGTTGTTTGGCCTTCAATAATGACCTTTCTAATTTTACTGGACTTCCAGCAACATGGATTCTAGATCTCTCTGCCCCTAACTCCAGGCTATAGGATCTTGATTTTCAAATGAAATGCAAACACTAATTTAAAAGTAACTTTGGACCACTGACCAGCAGTCCAGTCTTTTTTGTCACATGTTCAGCGATTGTTTTAGATAAGGAATGCAGTAAATGTAGCTTATGTGCAGAATTGTGCCATGGCTCTTGATGCACTGCTTCCAGCCTCAGCTCCCTCCCTATGAAGCCTCAGCATTCTTGAATGGGCTTCGCTTAATCTTCCCTTCCAGGCTAAGTTTGTCCCTGTTCCACCTTTTCCAACCCAACATTTTCCTTCCACTCAACGTTCTGTAATTATGCTTTAATTATTTCACAATATTGTTATTTACTGAGATACCAAAATTTATTATCCAGAGCCTATAATCCTAATGTGTGAAGATTCTATATAATTTAGGACTTTCTTTTTCTGGAATGAGTGACAAAAATAGATGTAACTTTTTCACATACTGATTCTTTTGAGATGATATCTGAAGTAAATCCATGATAAGATCTGAAGAGTGATGTCCACAAAAGCTCTCAGTCTAATCTGAAAGACTTTGTGGTATTTTGCAAAGAAACAAAAGTCTCTATAGGTACAAGGCTAAGGGGGGTATATCCCAAGAGATCTGAAGCTGTAATGGCAGCATATTGGGTTCAACAAAGTATCGATTAGGAGGTAAGCAATGAATAAATTTGTTTCACTTTACAATTTTGAGCTACTTTGTTTTGGTCTATTATAGAAACCTATAAAAGAGTACAACTAATTTCCCAAGCTACCTCTCACACGACCAATTATATAGAGAAATAAATGGAAATATATAGAAAATACAACAGGTGACTTTTGGACGAGATCTTAAAAATAAACGCTCGTTGAAAGAATCCTGAGAGCTTAACACTCTGCCTCCCAATGAGGGCCTGGAAATCTGGGAGAAAAAAAAATCCTTTGCTCTAAGAGTATTGACTTATGGGGTGGTGATGGGGAATAATGAGATTTTTAATGTAAGATGAAAACAGGCCATTAAGGGCTTTATGTGTGATAAGTAGGATTTTAAATGTGATCCAGAATTTCACAGGAAGACAAATTAGTGTGGTAGAATAGGAGATATATGTGATCACTCCTTGCAGAACCAGTCAATACTCTGGCTGCACAGCTTTGAGCCAGCTGTGTGTTGCTCTGGGAACTAATTGGTCCCTTGGCAAGAGCAGCATTTCAGTTGTCTAAACTAGAACAGACAAAAGTATGGACCAATTTTCCAGCATCAAATTTTGACATTTAAAATAGTACATGTTTTATGTAAAGTGGAAAATGGGACTGGCATTTAGCTTTTACATAATAAATAATTATGTTATATTTTATATTTTACTGAGGAGTGCAGTACCGAGCAGGTTTTGTTTCTTTTGCTGGTTTAGGAAAGCTTAAAGATTCAGTCAGTTTGCTACAACAGGGTTCCTTAGAGTCAAAGTGCTAGATTACAGGGTTATTGTAGAATCTTCAGTGTAATGTGGAATCCATGTGCTCTCTTGTTCAAAAACTGAAACACTCAACTTAATCATTCCTGGCTTGGATCATTTTATGCTGAACATTGATTCTTCAGAACAATTTGGTATTATTCAAAATCTCAATTACACAAAAACATTGTGTAAATTATTTTTTGTAAGAAGTTGTTAATTTAACAACAACCTCCAATAGAGCTGGTTTGATTATTCCAGCGTGAAGAGCAGCTACATGACAATGAACAAGCATGTTACTAACCTGTTAATATGCTAAATGCATAATCCTAGCTGTACACTTACACTGACAATAAATAAAACATGTCTGCTGAGACAGAAGTAACGCATTCATAATTAACATTTCAACCATAACGTAAGCAGTGCATAGCTTTTGGCTTTGCACAAGCCTGCAGTGGCATTCTCTGTTTTTCTCACCATTAATTAAAAAAAATCTACTGTATTAAATGATTTTTGACAAATCCAGCTGTAGTTGCACCTGTAGCTTAGGTTTAGCATTTTTTCCACTTACATAATTGCTGATGAGGTCAGGGTGGTCCTTTTCAATACCATCATCCAGGATGGTCACCACAACACCTCTCCCAGTGTAGCCTTGAGCCCAAGCTGCTTTCGTATTCAAGTCTTGATGTGTTGGATTGGACTGAAAGAAACAAAAGTCTTTTGTTTAGGTGTCAGTTTGCTTAGAGCCACTCTTCTCAAACAAAAACTGGCAGATAGGTTTTGTCACTGACAGAAAAGCTCAATTCTTCTGCAAAAATACAACAAAAAACAACACCCTTCTACTTACAAGGATGAAAACCAAAAACGCAGCAATGTTTAACACAAAGGTACTGAACAGCCAAAATGAAAGGCAACCTGTTGAAATTCACCAGTCCTTTTGAAAATATTTGGCTCTTGACGTAAATAACAGTGTGTGAGCTTTAGAGTGGAGGGAGAGGAACACAAATAGGGGTGATAGAGTGGCTGCTGAAAGTCATACAGTGAGCGGTATGAAAAGTAAGCACTGTAGGTGGACGAGGTGGTTAAAGATAGAATCATATAGACTCAGAGAATAAAACAACCTTCTCACACTGCAATGTTCCTTTCCATTCCATGTACATTTTGTATGAGAAATATTTCCTTTAATTATAAGGCAAATATACCAATGTCCTTGTATTAACAGCTGGAATAAAATACACAATATATGGTTAATATTAAAGAGACAAAATAAGATAGAAACACTATTTTTGATTAAGTACGAAGCACATTACCCCAAAATAAACGAACTGATCCAACTGATTACTACAGTGTTTATGTGTCATTCAGTTCATGTTAAACTATTTTTGTGTATGGGAGACGGTTAGAAATCTCAAATTACTTTATTATCTTAGTATCCATAGAAACAAATATCCTGCCTTCACCACTTTAATGTTTAATGCTGTTTGAAACAATAAGGTGACTAAAGAATTGACTCCCACACCCAGCTTGTATCAGGAAATCATTTACTTAGAAATTGTTAGACAAGATGAAGTCCGCTAAAAAAAGGTCAGAAATCAACATGATAAATATTGGTTCAAAGAGATGGAAAAGAAGGAGAAATGTAGTCTTCAAGATTGCATTCTTTTGTTAGTCAGAAAAGTGAAAAAAGAACTCAAATAAAGATCAAAAGCAATACAAACCCAGCTGAGCTGTGGTAAGGTCAGTGTTTTAATAGTAAGAAAGAGAATAGGCAAAGATGACATTGATGGGAGATTTTTACAGCAAAAACATCTGCTGATTAAAAAGGAACAAAAAGGCACAGCTCTTTTTCTGATGAGCTTAATCAATAAAGCCTGACAAAAAAGCAATAAAGAGAAATCATTAAGGGGGCATGATATTCTTCACAGCTCAGCAATAGCTCTCACTGTACTGTAAAATGGCTATGATGCCAACAAAGCTCCAGTGGCATGCGCCTCAGACTCAAGAAGCTTTATAATCCTCTTAGTTCTGAAGTCAGAGTTGTGTAGAATACTTTGTATGGAAAAGAATGTTAAGACAGTCAAGACATTTAAAAGTCTAATGCTAAATGTCAGAGGTGGTTTCAGGACTTCCATCCACTGTTGTCTTATGTCATGTTTGGTCGGCTGCAGGGACAGTTTCAGGTAAATAAACAAGAACAAAAAAGAGAGATTAGTAGGGGAATTCAGACAATTCTAAGCAGACTATGAATGATGGAATAGACATAGCAACAGCACCAAAAGGAATCTTAATGTACAGATCATGTTTATATGATAAACATCTTGAGATGTATTGAATTTTGCTTTAAAGCCTTGCTGGTGATGAAGAGGGGGGATGTATGGCTTACAAGCTTCAAGTACAGTGATAAAATATATGAAGAGCAATATGACATTTTAACCCGATGAAAATAAATGCAATGTTGAAAAAAAATAAAATCTCATATCTCTGCTCTAATAATTATGACTTTAAACAAAATATACAGACAGTGATATCATGTGTCATTTTGGGATTTCATATTCATTTTATGCTGATAATACTATACTGCAGTGTTGTTCTTGGCAGCTTCAGAAGTTTCAGTTTTAGACGAAAATGTGCATGAATTATTTTTTTTAACATTTGGAGCTAAAAGCTTATAGAGCAGGAGAAATGCAGATTTAATCATCATCCGTCCCTCCTCATCATCTCCTATTCATGCCGTTCGTGCCTCATTCAGTCTTCCTCTCACTGACTCCTTTATTTTCTACAAGGAACTGGCATATGTTCAAACTTAGTAGAGAAAAACTCAGATGTGTAAACTTCACCGTTCTCAAATCAAAATGATTAACAAAAGCAGTCGTAACTAGCCCTGAAATTACAGACTGAAGGTCACTGATTAAATCAAACCATTGCTGTCTGGATCGCAGGAATCATTAACACAGGAGAGCATATATTAAAAGATCTACACACATGATAGATACCCACTGGGGATGACAAAATGAACATAGTGAAGGAGGTAAACTTTGGTGAAATTCCACTTGCTGTCTAACTATAAATCACTCTATTTTCTACAGGGACACACAAAACGACTGAACTAATGTTACAGCAACCAACTCAGCCAGCTTTAGCCTAATGTTGACAGGACTTTATCTTTCTAGGAATGTCAGTGCAGAGAGCCTTAAAGGAATAGTACACCCAAAACATGATTAGCCTTCATTTTCTACTCACCTCCATGCTGAACAACACTCTGGAGTACTTTTTTGATATCTCAAATGCATCTGGAGATCTGGGAGGCTTCTTGCTGTCTGCTGACATTCAAATAATGGAGGTCCATGGCGCCCGAGACAGAAAGGTCCATAAAAGTCCACAAAAACGTGTCAATATTCCTCCATACTGCTCGTCCAATGTAATCCAAGTGTCCTGAGTGGGTAGCATCCAGAATTTACTCGAAACGAAGTCATTTAGAATGTTTTTAGAGCATAAACAGTAGTGTATAGGATTTCCTAATAGCGCCCCCATGCGCGCTCACGATTCTACGGAAGCCGGCAGACCAAACCGGAAGGAAGTGCGCATTCAGCGTCTGGTCTGCCGATAATGCAAGCGTAGAAGAAGAAATGTGCTGTTTACCTGTGCAAAGAAAGAAACAACGAAAGAAAAATGTCTGAGGACTTCAGTGTTGAGGAAGAGCATGAGTTCTTTGCCGAGCTGAATGCGCTGGTTTGGTCTGCCGGCTTCCGTAGAATCGTGAGCGCGCATGGGGGCGCTATTAGGAAATCCTATACACTACTGTTTAGGCTCTAAAACGTTCTAAATGACTTCGTTTCGAGTAAATTCTGGATGCTACCCACTCAGGACACTTGGATTACATTGGACGAGCAGTATGGAGGAATATTGACAAGTTTTTGTGGACTTTTGTGGACCTTTCTGTCTCAGGCACCATAGACCTCCATTATTTGAATGTCAGCAGACAGCAAGAAGTCTCCCAGATCTCCAGATGCATTTGAGATATCAAAAAAGTACTCCAGAGTGTTGTTCAGCATGGAGGTGAGTAGAAAATGAAGGCTAATCATGTTTTGGGTGTACTATTCCTTTAAGGTGCAGCTGATGGTATTTTCTGTCCGTGTTTACATGCACATTTACCATCTGTCTATACTTTACATCTGATTTTGTTTTGAATTGATCATATTTAAAGTATATCCATAGATCCTTCTAACCAACAATCCTGTAGGCCCCTCGCAGGTGGTGGTGGGCGGGGCCAAATATGCACAGGATTCGGCGCAGTCTTGAGGATCCTTTACCTTTGACTTGGAGATTAGATATGTAATAGGTAGAAATGTCATTGATTTGTTTGTCCATCATTTTCATCTAGTCTAGACAAAAACTAACACACGTCTCATCAGTTTTTGTCATATAAGAGCCATTTTTATTTTGTGACCGTTTCATTATCGCCATAAAAATAAAATTTTTTAACTAAATGTTTCCGTCATAGTTTATGAAAACAACACTTCTATGCTGTCAGTTGCTGTTAACTTTTAATCATATATCAAAAGAAGAAAAAAAGGCCTGAACCCACCAGGTACCACTGCTTGGGGAAATCTGGATCTGTGGGGTCTTCAAAAATGTCCCTCTTCTTTCTTCGTTTCACCACTTGCTGCTCCGCCCACAGGACCTAGAGGACCCAGACACACACACAAAGAGCATACTAATAAATAAACCCACGCACAAAGGAAAATTCCCAGTTTACGCTGCTGCCCTCACATCATATCTGCTGTTACTAATCTTGCTGTTTCAGATGTGATTGCAGTGTCAAACAGGACAAGAGACGAGGAAAACATGGCCCCAGTTGGGTTCAAACGTAATAACTCCAGAGAAAAAAAACTGAGACGACGAGGAAATCTAATTTGCTTCATTCCTCGGATCCAGGGGGACAATGGCTCAAGTACTGAAAGTGTTCTTGATGTAAAACAAGGATATTAAAGTATATTCTATAATGTCAATACTTACCAATAACTGTAGTTAATCATCAGAAACAGAGAACATGTCATTTAATTTACACAGACAGAATTAAGCCATCACCTTGTTATAGACAACAAAAGTGACAGCTGTGTGGAGAACACACTAAAGTCTAAGGGTCATTGATCCAGATATCAGTTACTGTAGGCCATCTGTACACATAGTATAAGCCTGCATGTATTATACTGCCCATTGTTAGTTGTTGTATGCTGGGGAAGATCATCCAGGTCATAGTTATTCTAAAAAAGTTAAAAGTAAACCACTGGACTTTATTTTCCAAGTACAGTATGAAGACGTTTGTCTGGAATAGGGTATGAGTTCAAGTCTTTATAGAACAGCCCAACAAAAGCTTAGAAAACTTGCAAATTGAACCGAAAACAGGTCCACCCTTTGCTAATGGGTTGTTGTACCTTCCGGAAAGGAAGAATAAGGGAAACCGTTGGGTCTTTCATAATGCCTACTGTGAGCCCCTTCACTCCAGAAACATTGCAAATGTAACCGTATCCTCCGAAGCAAAACTATTTAAAATATTTAATAACAGGGAGAAAAAAAACTGTGGTCTAGGGTGAGGAAAAGGAATTGACATACATCACAGCACAAAGAAGTGATGAAATGAAATCAGAGGGAGGTCTAAGCATGGGATCCGAATCCGCATGAATGATAAAATATTTGCTTCATCTATTGCAAAGATTCCTGAGGATATTAAGTGTTTGATCATTAAGGATGGAACATGCTTCTATTGTTTCTGATAGAAATCGACTGAAAACAAGAGATCCAGAGATTTGGATGGTTTCTGTGTTACTGTTGTAAGATGAAAAAAGGACATCCATCAGTAACTTTACCCACTTAATGGAACTCAGTGAGTTTGAGCTGACAGTAAGTGAGAGCAGGAGTACACTCTGTGGGAAGATTGTTAGTCCATCAAACAGAGAGAAAAAACGACCAGCCATGCTTGTTTTATAACCTATGGCCAATTTTTAAAAAACTAACTTTCAGCTCCACACAGAAGTGATGGTAGATGTATTGGCTTGTATGTCTATGCATGTATGTGCAACAAAATACTAACTCAGTCACCAATGAGAAAAGGGATTACCTGCATGCTGTAGTTTGGTTGTTTTTATCATCATTGTACTTTTTCCTTCAAGTCTTATTTCTAATAATAGATCATGTGCTGTACAGACTTAAACCAAATTTCTATATAATCCTAATTTGTTTAACACACAGATGACTTTTTCATACTTCCATATTAGGAAAGTCTTCTGAAAGGATGTTCAGCTAGACCTGCCCTGACCCGTCCAATTGCTTTCCGTGATTGCACCATGCCAAAGAGCTAACAGGAGACTCTGAGTAGAACCACAGTGCTGACGACTTAAGAAGAGGTTTGAAAAAAAACCTAATTATTTGTCCATTGAGACCCGTCAGCCATTCATTCAGGTAACAACAGAGAACTACGCTTCAAAGGGTGCCAATAGTTTCCCTCGTTCTTCACGTCATACTTATGCTCTTTGTACCTGACTTTTTCTAAGATACAAAAAGTGGCTTGTGTCTAGTATTAATACCTGGAGACATTTTGTTAAATTGGCAAAAAGGTCAAACTGACCTGAAACACCTTTTCACTAAATACCAGAAAAAAAATGGATGTGTTACAGAAAAGTGTCTCTGTTGTATTATGAATTTGGAAATGTTGGCAAACCTTTGGAAATCTCTGATGAACACCATCTACAATGACTACACATGGTGAGTAGTAATGTTAACCAATGGCAAACTATTATGCTATGGTTACTCTGAGCTTGTTCATCTGTCTTTTAAAATACACATTTTGTGGAGGCTCCTACCTCACACATGGGGCAATGTTTCCTCTACGCCTACTATTGAATTCACTCTCACGGCAGAAAGGCTAAAAAAATTTTTTTGAGTACTGAAAATTATAATGGGGGGAAAGAAGACAAGACAAAATCTATGCTTACAGTTCAAAATTTTACAAGTACTAGTGACCAGGCACCTTTGACGACAAAAAGGCTTTAAGACTTTAGATGACAGTACTCTAAATATTTGGTCTGCTAGAATTCTATACTTTCAGTTCCCAATCCTTCTCATCCCAGTTGTAAAAACAAAACTATACTGCATATTTATGGATGATATTTGTATAGTGGTCAGGATATAAAAATAAAAAAATAAAAAAACTTGTATGCATAGAAGGTTGGACAGATAGATTGATGGATGAATTGATAGATGAATTGATAATGAGGGAGAGAATAAAGTTTATACATATAAATGGTTTTACATACTTAATTTTCATATTTCCCTACTATAATGGAAAAAAAATAGTGAACAAAAAAAACATCTCAAATACATAAATGGAATTTTGGAAAATGTACTTATAAAGGTAACTTTAAAGAATAGAAAAAGGATGACTAAATTATGTGCTGTTTGTTGAGCTGAATCCCTATTTAGTGGCTAAAATAAAAAGAAGGTCCTCTGAGCACTGAACATTAAATCCAGATGAGACTTATTTGCTTTTTAATTAGTTTCCTGAACTAACCGGTCATAAAAAAAGAGAATGAGGCCATCCTTTGTGTATACAACAAAGGATAAGCCTTCCTCGTTGTTTTTTCTCCTTCCATACACCAAGTTTTTCATGTAATATTCTGTACTAATTTCTAGAAAGCCCAAATACTTTTGTTGAGTGACATATTTCCTATTGTGAATCATTATATTTGGTATATTTTGGAGGTAACCAAAATATACTAAATATAAATTAGATTGAAGGCTGGATGTAAGAAACAAGCTATGATGATCAGCAAGCTGAGAGATAAAGTAGTGGAATATTAGTTCTGCTTTCCATATTAGATTTGAGATTAATAATGAACTTTGAACAATGCCATCTGCATTCGCTTTTTACAGACAATGAAAACAGTGAACTCTCAGGGTCAGATGCAAACTGTCGTAAGCCTAAAGATATTCAGGAGAGGATGAAAGAGTCATGAAAATATTCTCTCAAACACTGTATGCAGGAAACTGTCCTAGACTATATTTTATACGACAACCAATAGCAGCCAACCCGAAACAAATCAATTCTCTCCCTCATTGGGTGGATGGGTGTGCAGAGGAAAGATGACAAACGACCTTTACAAATATAATGGTAAAAGATTATGCAACTGCCATTGCCATCATGCCACTGCGTGATTATTCAAAGGGGACAATGATAAGCGGCATTGGAAGTGCCACAGAGGCAGAAGGAAGGAGACAATGGTGGCTGCATGAAATGCAGCTTCTGGATTAGGAGGAGGTAACACTGTAACAAGCTGAAAGCATAGCAATGACTAATCCAAATCCAACCTTTCTGTTTTTATTGCCTTTCTAAATCTGTTTTCTTAAAACCACATGAAGCGCAACCTTTTTTCTTTCTTACTTTGCGGAACATATCTTCTCACAGACCCAAATGAATACACAGATGAACTTAAATAAACACACGTAAGCCCAGCCTCACTCAAATCTGCAAAGGGGTCGTTTCTGTTGGCAGCAGCCTTGATTTGAGTATTTTTTCCTGCTTTTTGGTGTAGATGTGGAGGTATGTTTTGTGCAAGTTGTTGTTTCACAGCCAAAAACATACTGCCCTCCATGGACTACAGTTCAAATACACAGTTAACTTGAACTGTTGACTTCTGTTATAGACTCTCTTTTAAAACAACAAAAATGTTTTTACACAACTTCAGGCTTTAAAGCTGCAGCATCAAAACAAGTTCCACTCCAAACTCCAAGGTGTTTCAGTTTGCCTGTTCCATAGAAAACAATAAATAGATAAAGCTATATCACATCCATGTGCATCTTGTTGATTATTTCTGGTCCTTGACAAATATTACTAGCAGAGAACAATCAACTTTTAATCAAGCCTGTAATTTAGGCAGCAATTGTGCTTTGCTCATCGTACATTTTTTGCCTTGCTGCAACACGGCTATCTATAACAATGTTTTGTACATTATTAAGCCGTTTGTATGACCATGACAAAATCATTGTATCTGCCGCTGCCCTGCGAAAACCTAATTGATCTCTCATTTTAGGTTGTTTTTGAAAGATGAAAACAAATCTAATTACTAATATTGATATGGTGTTCTCTCAGTACACCAACAGACTTCTCTATGTGGGAAAGCTCAATATTTCGGCAGACTCATGCCAAAAATAAATGTCACCAAATCTTAGTAACATGCCTTGAAGGTTTCAAGCTTGTCAAACCATAAATACTTTCCTCAACTACCAGAGAGAGACTCTAAAAAGCTGCAACAAAATCCTTTCAGCCTACACTTAGTGCAGATGTGGAAACTTAGATCTCATTTAGTAACCACCCATGTTTTTAGAAGCAGTTATGGGTGCTGTTTGAGATATATTTTATAGCAGTGATTTCCACAGCTCCTTCCTTCTTCTCAGTTGTGCAAATGGCAACAGCGTGATTCTGGCTGTTCCCTGAAAGTAACATTGAAAGAAAGAGGGTAGGTATGTACACGCAGGCTTGTTTCAAAAATACTATTGAAAAACGTTTACATTTTTTTTTTTTTTTTAACCGCAACTTTCTCTCTGCAAATATGGCTATTGGGTAACAAAAAAAGCTTGGATTTTGAAGAAATAAATACTGGTTCTCTGCAAGGGTTAAAATCTTGCATAATCTACCTTATATTATAGCTTAGTTTTTGTTATGGTCTGTCTATTAGTGCCTCACCTAAATGTCTCCAGTCTTTTTAATAATCCGTTTTCACGGCACCTTCAGGTTTATACAGGTTCTAGTCACCTCATTAGTCATTGTAATCTGTATACTAAAGAGTGGCTTGGCTTGGTCTGGATTCACCAGATACTTCTGAAGTGTTCAGTTTATGGAGAAGTTCACCATCTACTCCAAGAGCTGTTTGTGGATGAGGGTTGCTTCCTAAGATATTAACGTCTCACCTGAGCCCACATTAACGACCTGCTGACCCACATCAGTGTCCACATATCCTAGTAAGACATCAATGTCACAAAAGGAAGCCTCTCTGATTGGTTGTTGTCATGGATTGAGCAGCAAAAGTTCAGATTTTCCAACTCAAGCGTCAGTTACTTGTGAAGCATTCAGCTCCAGCTGCTCAAAATCAGAGCTGTAGCTGTATCCAGACGCTACCTAGTAAAATCCTGTAGAACCTTGTCGTTGTAACTCAGAGTGATCAGTTAATTACATTTGAAATGTGATTATAATTTTCCACAATTCAATTTTCAAATCATGAAGACACTTTAGGTCTATTTAGGTCACAATACATTTAACAAAAGGTAGACTCTGACCTTCTAATTTTAGCCCTTTACGTGGCGGTAATGTGTTTACAGTGGGTTTCTAGCCACACAGAAGTGAAGAAAGAGTCGCTCCGAACTTGCTGATCAATGAATGCAAGTAACAGTAACAGTAAAGTCCTGCTACTCTGTTCAAGCCAGCTTTCAAGCTCATTTAACAATGCATATTTGGAAAGAGACATGTACAATCCTGCAGTTAGTGCAGAAAAGTCAAAGATTTGGTTGAAAAAAAAATCACAATTTAGAGTTTTGGCAAAGTTGTTTTGCCTTAGTTGAAAACATGATCAAAACTTTAAAGAACTTTAAAGATAGTTGGATAGTTGGAAACTTCAGACCCCCCCTTTAAAAAAACAAAACAAAAATAAACATACCATAAATGTCAGACGCTATCCTTCATGTTATCTGCTTTCTGGTACTAATATATTGTTTTTTGTCTGTGCAGAGAAAAAGAAAGTTGTATTCCTTGTTTTTGTGAAATATGTATTTCTACAGACTTTACTCAAAAAGACAGAACAGAAGACACATGGCAGGGGTCCCTTAAATTATGGGTTTGGTATCCAACATGGTTCAAAAGAGGAAATAAGACAACGGGTATTCAGTTTTCTTCAGTCTACATGATACTTAGAACAAACACACATAGTATCATTCCACCTGAAAAGAGATCTACACTTCTACAGCCCATTAGAAATCTAATTAGGACTCTTAAACTGAAGAATGCTAATAGCAAGGCCACAGAGCCAATTTAAGGAGCAGATTTTTCCTAATAGGATCCTTAATTACTTGGTTCTCAACACTAATGTTAAGTGCTATTAAATAGTTTTCATTAGTTTCATTTGCTTCACATGAACTGGCTTCTTTTGATGTAAAACATTCACAAAACTCAGTAAAGACCTTACATTTGTCTGCAGGAAAATATGCAATAGGTTGAAGATTCCACCCCCATTTTCCAACTGTGCTGCCAACCACCCCCAGGCTCTGGCTGTCTAAACTGATTTTATAACGATTTGGAAATATACATAGAAAAGTGAGCTTTTTTTTCTTTCTTTAAAAAAAAACAGATTTGGTTGGGATTTTTACTAAAAAAAAACACTTTAGTGACAAGTTGGTGAACAGATCCGCCTAAATTAATCAGGGCAATTTCTCCTCGATATGCACAAACTATAGTTTAGCATTGTAACTCCAAGACAAATATCCTATGTAAAATGTCAAAATGCAGCTTAAATAGTGAACAAGGTTCTAATTATTGCTTAGAAAAGAAATATAGAAGAAAAACATCTAAATTAATTGAATATTTGGGCAATATTGGACTTAAACTGCAACAGTTTTATCTAAAGGATGTATAAAACCTCAACAACATAAAATGTATTTTTTTTTAAATAGAAAATTACTATATTATTTGGAGGAGAAATGAAATCAATACATGGGGCTGGTGACTGTAGGAGAATAGCAGACTTTTCTCCTGTGCTGCAGCAGTACATATACAACATTGATAGGTTTATTTTCTGGCTGTTGGTCAGAAGATGAAGAAAAAAACAACAACTTCCCCTCGTCTACTTGGCAATATTGCTCTTTGTGGAACCACATATCACAAACTAAAAAGGTTTTGGTTAAATATAGATTAATATCATATAATAATAATCACCATCCTCTGTAACTCTGGTGCAACATCAGTTCTTTAGCACAATTAAAGAGAAATCATATTTAACATAATTACATTTATGTGGTGCCCCGAAGTGTGTCAGAGGAACAGATGGACAGACTAGAGTGGATTACGAAAAAACAACAACAAAATGTTTGACAAGCTGTCATCGATGCTGGCTTCCTTTCCTCTACTGATTTACACAAGTTCACTGTGTAATCCAATCTGTCTTCCGGCTTTTTCTTGCCAATAAGGAGTGCCTCAGTGAACTGTGATAGAACTGACACCGGTCCCACCTGTGTTTCTTTCTCCAGTCTGACGTGCATTCCCTTGTGTCCTGACAATGCCCTCTTCGCCACGGCATGGTGCCTGAAGTGATAATAATCTCCAAAAACCTGCACAAACATAGACAAAGAGGAAGTGAATTTACCTGCAGCAATGGAACAAGCAGATAAAACTGTTTACAAAAGCAAGGGAACACAGGAGAATGTGCAAAGAATTTAACTCTGATGGATGTCAAAGTGAATGCTGTCACAGGGTGACTTTCTCTGTTAGTCATTGTCTTTTTTGTTTGTTGTTATTTTATCTCAAAATAAAGTGTGTGATTCAAATAATCACAACTTAAATTGCAGCTAGGCATTAACATAAACTTGCCAGTGGGATGAAAATCACATCAATAAAGATATTTAAATGAACAATACAACTAGAAAGATGTTTTTTAAGCAATTGTGTGGATTTACTGCAGACTATCTCTTTTCCAAAAAGCATCAACATTATTTATACCATATAAAACATAAACCTACTACCACAAAAACAGATAAATAAATTATCTAAGAAATTCTAGGACTAATTCTAACTTAGTATCGTATAAGCTTTCAAACAGAGTGGATTTCTAACAAGGTGTAGGTCATTCTATCAGTTCCCTTCATTAATTCAAACACATCAGAGACAGATTGCATGTTTCATATTTTAAAACTGTTTTTTTTATTAAGCATTTAAGCTATAGTCAAAGCATGAGGATGTATCCTTAGGCAGGCTTTATACTGGCTATGTCCCGTGTCCATTCTAATATCCTTTGCAAAAACCGCTTTGAATCAATTCAGACTGGATACGTATACAACCACCTAATCCATCCAGGCAGCTTTCCCTCTTATTTTAAAAACCACACATAGTCTGTGTAGGGCTACTTTTAGTCAAATAAAATGGTCTTTCTAAAGCTCCAACCTCAACTAAAATGAAAATGCATAACTAAGCTTCAAACTTAAAGTCAATAAACTCAAACATACAGTCAGAATTATGCAAATACCTTAAACTGAAAAAGAATGAATCTTTCATTGTCCAACACTGGGCGAATTCAAGTGGGAACTGAAAAGGGATTTGTATTATATTTCTAATACCTTTTATTTCTAGGAACAAGGGGAGTGGTGGCCTAGTGGTTAGAGCAGTGCGCTTGTGCTCTGAGAAGGTTGCAAGTACCCGGTTTGATCCCCACAACCTGCACTCTTGGTTCCTAAGCAAGACCCTTAACCCCTGATTGCTCCCCTAGGCGCCACACAATGGCAGCCTACTGTTCCCCAAGGGGATGGGTCAAAATGCAGAGAACGAATTTCCCTTTTGTGGGACAATAAAGGGATTTACAGAGATTAAAAAAAGAAAAGAAAAGAAAAACTAAACTGTTTTGGGGGGAGCCAGTATTTTTTGTGATAAAACATAAAATGAACTTAAATTGTAACACCTAATTTTTGATTAAGAAAGAACTATATTGAACCTGCATTTGTGCCATTAAACAACAACAAATCAAATAAATGAATAAATAAATCTGACATTCATAGCTTTAATGAGTGGATGTAAAACTTGGAACTGAACTGTAAATCAACGGATATTCTAAAAGAACCCAGAGCTAATCCAACTATAGTTTAATGTTCCTTGTAAAAGTTACATTTAAAGTCTAATATATTTTTTATCTGTCTCCACTTAGGTATACACATCATAGAAATGTCTATTGGAGCAACAAAATCAAATAATGATGAAAATTCCCTTTCAATTCTGCACAGCAACAAAAATCAAAGCACTCTAACCTGGAAATGAGGTTTCTATAAAGCTAAAAGACAAAACTTGCACTGGAGAGCAACACTAACCACCATCTCCGGATGGACATAATCAAAACACACATGACCTTCAGAGACAAAGTTACATAAAAGCTGTCTGGAGCATACCTAATACTGTTGTCATTGCTCTGCTCATAAAGGAGCTTTTAAGGGAGAAGTAATGGGATGACAGCTGTCACCAAACTGGCCTTAAACCTCAGGGGAAGTTTATTTTTCATTAGTCTTGCTATTAGGAGACACATCCAGCAGCCCGAGGCTCCCCTGCTTGTCATGTCAAGGAGAGCTGACCTGGGAGAAGCGTAGAGACTAAATAATAAGGACATATAGAAGCAAGTCGTGTTTAGCAAACAGAAATAGTCAAACGGAAATTTTAGAAAGAGGAAGAACAACAACAACACTTTTTAAAAGGGTGTATTCACAGGAGAACTGCCACCACTTAAGCAGGAAGCATTGCAATCTGTACAGTTGTGCCACTGGGGATCTGGCTCACCTTCACAAGCCCGGTGAAGCGAAGGAAGAGAGGGGAAACCACAGGGCGGTGGTGATGGTGGGGGGAACGGAGGGAAACAGTGGGGAGGGAAGCTGGAGATGGGAGTGTGTGGCGGGGGGGTGGCTCGGAGGGGACCCAGGCTTTGACATGCCGAGCAGGCGGGATGGATGTGTGTGAGGAGCCAGAAGAGCAGACGCAGCAGGATAGAGGGTACTCCTGGGGCTGGAGGAATATCTGCAGGCAACGCTGTCTGCAAGCCGTCCAGACAGGAGACTCCGGCTTAAAGGCCAAACCTGGCAGCACTGATATAGCGATGCCATCCTCCAGCAAGCCAATTTGAATTAATTTGTTGAATGCTGTGATTAAGAGCTGGTTTTAAATCTCCTGCTACCAGCTTTCATATAAACCAGATCAGTGCTAGCCTCAAGATTGCCCAGTCTATTCATCTTTCAAAGCATGTCATTACGGGTAAAAATGATGAATAAAGCCGCTGGTGATAATATGCCTTTGAAAATAAATCTTCCTGTATTACTGAAAGCAGGGACTGAAATGTAAATAATATAAACTTATTTTTCTCATTTTACCTGCATGAGCTTCAGAGGAAACAAGTGGATCAAGATCAGTGAAATCCCAGAGGCAAGTAATGTTAACATGCCACACAAGGATTATAGCCTAGTTGATAGATTTACTGCAGCACTACCTAAAAGACGACCTTATTCTAAAAACAGCATGTTGGGTCTGATTGTAGTTCCACAGAGTGGTGGTGATTTGCACTACAAAGAAGAAAAAAACATCTAATTTATCTATGTCAGGGTATGATAGAATATAGTTGGCTTATAATTAATAATCAGCTTGGCAGATTTAGATTAAAGCCATTTGTATAATTTGCCAAAGATTGTCCTGAATTGAAAGAAGTAAATAACATTTTTTGTTGGCCCGGACAGAGTCCATATTCGTAACAAATACAGAATATGTGGAGGGAGGTATGGATTAGACTGTTGGTAACATTTCCTAGTCTGCTCTACTTTCCTGAAAGGCATTGTGACCTACATTTCATCATCAGTAAGTTCTCTGTAGATCTCAGGGTCCTGCTCATATTCTAATAACCATTTCCCCTATGCACAACAAGGAGAATATTACTCCAAGTCAGAGGGTGGCGCCAAACACTGCAGATGGAAGTGTCAGGTGGGATCAAATGCAGAAGAAGAAAAAATAAGAAAGACAAAACAAACAAAAAAGAAAAACACTACTGATCCTTTTAGGAAATACAGAAAAAATAAAAATAAATAAAAATCCAAATATTTCCCGCTAGCCCTTTTCAGAGCTTCACTGCCAGCACAGTAAGTCGACATCTACCACAGCTAGAATTGTTCATGGTCTTGCTATTGCTTGTCACAAACTAATTTATTATAACTGTTTAATTAATTAAATCCATGTTAATTCCATTGAAATAAAAAAAAAAATCTTTTAAATCGTATCTCTTAAAAAATTATTTGTATTATGAGTGAACCTGTGTTAAGTCCAGTCAGATAATCAATAATCAGAATTATTTTATAATATTGAAATATACTGATTTGACTAGATTTATGCTGCACAGTTTCTCAATATGGTATGTTTTGAATTAGCGCTGAAAAAAACCTAAATTTTATCCTAATTATACGTTCAAAAGACTGATGGCAGTTTTTCCCTTCCTTTGAATAAAACCCCTTTAATTAAAAATTTTTTTTTTGTGAATGCGTGTAATTATGCCACTGTATCCTCTTCCACATACTTTATATGTGTTGTGCATCCATTCACATGTATGTTTGTATATATGGTACCTGCATAGATGTATGCCCAAATGTGGAGATAAACACTGGCTGATAGTTAAATTGAAAGGGAGTCCCAAAGGTACAAGTAGAAAGAACTGCCCACCTAACCCTGGGAGCAGGCCCAAGAGTCCACAGAGATTGTCACAGCTCCAAGAGGCGGAAAAGAGCCAAGACCTAGCAGGTTCCCTGACTGACCTCGGAATGCTCCCACAGCATCTATACAACACAACATGCCCAATATCAGCAGAATGGGAAGATACCACCACAACCTGGCAACCAGAAACCTCCCAGAGAGCATAGAAACACAGTGCCGACCCAAGACTGCAATCTGTTTCCTCTAACAATCAGCTCAACTCCCCAGCCCACACCCTAACCACTGAGAAGGACCTACTATGAGAGCACCTTAATGGGTATAAAAAAAAGCTTGCAAACACTGGGTCTCAAAACTAAAGTAGTGAAGCTTGAAAGGTAAAGCACCTTCAAGACAAGGTCATAACGTAATGAAAGATATGACCCCAGGAATGAATAGGACCCACTTTGGCATTGATTATGGCAGGGCAGAAAGCTAATTTGTACTGCCCTGGGGTGGCTTTTCTGTGGCACAAACCTATTTCCCAGAGTACTGATGTCCTCATTTAGAACTCAAGTCTACCAGTCTTGGGAAATTGAGATGGAGAAAGAAAGCTGCAGCTGAGTCACACTTCTACAAAGCTTTAACTAGAGTGAATCATATGGGGTTTGGCTGAATGTGTGTGTGCAAATGTGTGCAAGTGATAATAATTGAGAGCACTGTAGGTCATTAGTCACCCTGCCAGTGCGCTCTGAATCTGCATTAGAGGCACACTGCCCTTTACACCCCTCACTGGACACTGCCAGAGGTTGCTGTCTCATGCTTAAGTCGCTTCATTCTCATTTTCATCTTTTATGTACATTCATTTATTCTTGGAATGTCAGCTTCAGGCTCTTCAAACAAGTCCCCAGCAAAG